GGCTGGAAGCGTAAGTAGGAAATCTTCACCCCTGAAAAACAGAACAAGTGGGCTTTGGCTCTAAACTAAAAGAAAATAAATCATGCAAACCCAAAAGAAAATAAACTAAAACCACTTTTACAAAAACCAATCAAATACAATTACCCAAAAATACCCTAAACCATAATACTAAACCCAATAACGTAAGCAAATCAACAAAAATATTTAATCCACAATCATTGTCTAAATTCCAGAATTAATTTGTCCAAAAAAGTAACGTAAAGTATGCAAACAGAGGACAAAGTTTGAAAAGGGTGAAATCAGTTTAATTTTCCCAGATTTTGGGTCACAGTGAAGTTAGACAGAAATTGAGGGGTTGGAATATAAATTTCAGAAGAATTCCATTCATCTTCTTCGCAGACTTCTGCAACTTTTGCAAACCCGACAATAAACATACCAGCATGGTTGCCAACGATTTAGCCCCAGCCATTCTCAAAAGAAAATAAAAACTCACACAAACTCCCTTTTCATATAATCTCATGACATAATTCGAATTCACATTAAAAAACATCAAGCAAAACAGAAACAAATGCCAAATAAACGGATACCAAACAAGCTATCCGAATCAACTATCTTGACAAGCATGGGCTGGCCGAACGTATGCAAACAGGAATCAATCGTCCTTCAAACAAAATTTTAAGTTAGGCATTTTAACAAACAGCAAGTGGGCATGAGAAATTCCCGAAATTCTCCGTTCAAATGGTCTAACAATTAGCCCCAAAATTGTCATAAAAAAAACAAAGAAATTCAGCCCAATCAATGTATGCATCGTGTGTATTCAGAAATTAAAGCCAATTGACAGGAAAACTCCACTAAATAAAACCAAGGCAAATCCATTTCAAAACTGGACAGGAACTGAAATTTAAAGAGGGAAAAACCAATAGCTTACCGTGCTCCTGCTTGATGAAAATTGGCCGGTGATGATGGTGGGTTCGGTGAAGTGACGGTGGCTATGAGCGGCGACGGTGTTCCTTTGTTCCTCAGTCTCTTGCCGTGGCTGGCTTTCCTCGCTGAAGTCTTCCCTTTTCCTCTGTTTTTCATTCAGCCCAGCCGTCCGAAGCTTTCTTCCTGGGCTCCCTTTTTCTTCTAGCTCCAACCTATTCCCTCTGTTGCTTTTTCTGGTTTTTCTCGCAGCCCCTGTTTTTCCCCGTTTTCTTTTTCCATTACTTTCTGGCCGACCGAAACCCTGGCCATCCTCCTTGCGTTTCTCCTCCTCTGTTTTCTTTTCGCTCAAGAAATGATCCGCAGGCGGTGGTGGATTCAGGGGAAGTGATGGCGCTGGTGATGGTCGACATGAGCGGCGTTGGTTCCTGGACAGGCCGTTGGTCACTTGTTGATCTGGAGAAGAAGGGCTATGGCTGTGGGCGGCTGCGATGGAGCTTGGAGGATCGCGACAGCAAATGGCGCGCGATGGTGTCGATGGCGGACAACGGCAGCGGCGGATGCAGGCTGGTGGTCGTTTTGGGTTAATAGCATGAGGAAGATTATGGGCAGGCAGCGGATGGAGTTGAGATGGTTGCTGGGGTGGTTGGGAACGTTTCTCCTTGCCGATCATTGAAACCGAAGCCTCCCTCCTCTGTTTTCCTCTCAAGCTCTCAGATTTCCTTTGCGTTTTTCTTTCTTCCCCCAGTTCACCGAATCCCTTAGTTTCTTCCCCTTTTGTGTTCTTTTCTCTCGTTCCTTTTGTTGCCGACCGAAGACCTAGCCGCCATAGCTCCCCTCTCTGTTTTTTTTTCTCATTTTTCTCCATCAGACCCTCTCTCTCCTTTTTTCTTTTTTAGTTCCCCCTACAACCTTTATCCGACCTCCTCTGTTTTTTTTTTATTCATCCGTTGCCTTTCCTGTTTTTTTCTCTCTCCCCCCAAAAGAAACCTCTCTTGCTCCCTTTAGCCCCGTAACCCCCTATACACTTGTCCTATAATTCCTTAGACACTTGTCTAATGATTATTTTATACACTTGTCCAACATGCACACTTCCACCTATCCACACATTTTTCCTTTCTTTTTCATTTTCATTTTTCTTCAAAAATCAATTAAAAATAAATTAACAATTTTCAAACCAAATTTTAAGAGAATTAAAGCCACTTTTAACACCTTACAAAATGAAAATGAAGAATCTAACTCAATTAAAAAAAATAAATAATAAATGATAAAAATGAAATTAAAAATAATAAAAATTTGGTGTCTACAAGATCAAAAGAGAAAAATTAGGTATTTGCAACTCATGAAACTTAGCAAAATATACGTAATGTGGCAGCCCCACTTTCCCCTAAGGCATACCAAAGGATTAGCGGACTGCCTGCCCAACTCTCGCCAGGACTACAAAGACAGTTATACACGATCGAAGACGTACCGAAGTAAAATAGCATGCTTACACGATTCAAATTTTCAAAACGAAAATCGGAACCACAAACGAATAGTGACTGCCACGTCACCATCCAACCAGACTCTAATCAAATACAGATAATGTTATATAGATCAGGAGAAAAACATTTCCAAACCATATAGGATACATGAGCATGGTTAAACAGTTTTATACACATACGTTTGAAATTTACCAATCAAAAGGAAAATATTTGGATCAAGGTACATTTAGGGTTTTCCATCTTCCAAGGAGCTATACCAAAGGGGTATTTATACAAGCTCAATACATTCTTCAAAATGATCATTGGTGCAAAAGATGGTTCCCTATAAGGAAAACAAGGATAACAGAACATAAATAGTAGAAACAGTAGAACTTATAAGAAATTTCTCTTAAGGCATATATGCACGTCAAATACGAGAAATGAATAAACACCACAATGTAAAGGATACAAGTGACTCTCAGGAGCCAAATCCCCGTTGCAATACTTGATCCAGTCTCGTTGACCCTCCGTCAATGTTCAAATAAAGAAACCAGTCCAGTAGAACACCACTTTAACGCCAAAATCCCGTTCACCAAACATACCCCGTATCAGGCCCGAACGCCAAACAGGAGCAGGAATGGTAATACTCGAGTATATCGGATTAGAGGTGTCATCGATTAGAGGTGTCATCGAGCTTGATTGTAAACTTTAGAAACTAACCTATATAGCTTGTCTGAATTGTAATCACCCAAACAGTTCTATAGGTGAACGAAAAATTATATGTACGTATTGCCAGGCTAGCGTTGATCTCCAACCTTGGTACTTATAAATAGCATATTGTGTTTAAATTAACTAGTCTAAACCTGCTATCACATATATATTTGTTTACTAATTCCAAGGCTTGTATTTCAATTTGGATCACGGATTCAACCAGAACCTTGCGTGCTACCGCTATGTCATCTAAGGCTGAAAAACTAACTCAATTTTCAACCACTGAGCTCTACTATTTGCAGACAAAGGTAATTATCGTTTCTTTTTAGGTAGCAACTATTTCCTTCTATTTTTTCAACAGCTTATATTACTTTCTTTTTTTTTATCTCCACCAGAACATAGATTTATGTGACAGTTCCACATTCCCCTAGGGTGTACCCAAGGGTTCGACAGACCGCCTGCCCAACTTACGCCAGGACTCAGTCACACATCATGAAGTTTACAATCAATAATCTCAATAATACAAGCAGCATCAATTATATCCTTCAATATAGGTACACTCACGGACATCTAATGTCCACACTATCTATAATACCGCCAAAGAGTCACACTTGCAAAAATCAAAGCAAACAAGCTGGCTAGACATCTATAAAATACTCACTCGAGTAACTAACAAACTTAGAAGAAATCGAGGCCTTTCTCAATCCAACCTCTCATGTTTTCATCCCTATAAGGAAAATAAATTGCGTGGAATGAGTTACAAATCCAGTGAGATTCCAAGAAAATAGGCAGGTAATATAACAGGCAAGACCATATGCCGAATATCAAGAAACAAGTCAAAACTCAAATAAATCATGACCCAGTATGTAGTTAAGCAAATAGCCAAATAAATCATGCAAAAGTGTACAGTAAAGAATAAATTCCACTGCAGCTTGATCGAGGTCCGTTAACTCTCTGTCAACCACAAAACTATACAGTCCGTAGATCACCACTTTATACCAATTTCCGTTCACCAAACATACCCCTTACCAAACCCGAACGTCAAAGAAGTACCCAAGGATCGTCGATCTCCTTGACTAAACCCTTGCCAACTCGATTCGACCAACTAGCCCTGGGTTGGACTTATAGTCCCAGATATTCAGTAATTCAGGATCTGGCTTATAACCCCAAATATTCAAACAATAAAAAATGGAGTTGTTGGCTGTCGTCCAACGCTCACGCAGTAATGATTGGAGACGTTAGTTGTCACTTAACGCTCTGTATTCAGTAATATTAGTGTTCAAATGATAAATTTCAGTCAGGAGTAAACAGGTTAGGAACTTGTCCTTTACCCAAAATTGTCCCGCTTACCTGACCGCTCCAGGGCAGGTCTTAAGCAAGAGATCCAACGAGGGCTCAGTTCAGCTGTTACCAACCTATATTCACGCATACGCATGACTAATCCTAGATTCCTCTTACTCGACATCTCAGATAAGATCTAAGGCTTAGTTCAATCACTACAAGAGAAATATAGCTGGTCTACAATTCAACCGCTACAAGAGAAATATAGCCAGTCTACTATTCAACCGCCACAAGAGAAATGCAAACAGTCTACAGTTCAACTGCCACAAGAGGAATGCAGCCAGTCTACAATCATGTACATAAACAGGCAAGTCCACACGCAGGATCGATTAACAATCATGCACATAAACAGGCAAGTCCACACGCACGATCGATTAATTCAAGTTCATAAAGGTCAAGTACGAATAAGAACACATTCGACTCGCCATAATCAAGTCATAAGAAATGCATAGCAATTCACATTCCAAGTATTTCAAATCAAAATACAGGTCACATGCAAATCAAGTTATTTGTTCACGCATGAATGAGATATCAAGTGTTTAGTCAAGTTAGGTCAATTGAGTGTACATAAGAGCACACTCACCTAAACAGGCTCAAGTCGCAAATAAGCTCAACATATCATGTTCCAAGCATTTCAAGTCCAAACATTTGAAAATCGGATAGGTGCGAAAACCTGATCAAACAAGAAAACTAGGGAAAAACTGCAGAAATCAGAAATTTCTTCAGCAAATCCGGCCATTATGGCCGGATTCAAGGCCAGATTGACGGGAAAGACTTTAACATTTTTTATGCTTACTGTCTCAAATCCGGTCGGGAATCTGATCAGAAATTGGCCGGATTCTGGCCATATTTCAGTTATATCAAAACGGCCAGTACATATTTTGACAATATATCAAAAGTTTAGTCGAGTTAGGTCAAGTGCAATAAAGTATACGCTTACCTATGAGACAATAAATCAAGTACCTAGAAATTTCTAGCAATAGTGTGCATGTAACACGGGCCCCAAGCACACAAGAAAGTTGGTGGGATAACCACCCGAGTGGGCAACAAGTCAAGTGCAAGCAAAGTAATTCCTTTCATATCAATATCAAGAAGTTAACTACAAAGGATCGAGTATGATAAAGTACATTCTTGTCCCAAAGGTTATTACTTCAAGAGCAATTACTTTAACCAAACAAGCATATCATTCCAGCAAGGAGACATTCCATGTAAATATTTTCATGCACTTAGAACACTCACCTGTTAAGAAATGCAGAGCTTATTCGTCAAGTTCCTTAATTACCCTCACCTCGTTTCCCAATCCTAGGGCAATGAGTGAAAGTCGTTAACATTCTAGCTTCATTTTCCAATCCAAATGTAAGTTCAATAGGTGACCAAGTGAGTGGATAAATCAACTCAATGGACCATGCAAATTAGGCCCAAAATGCAGGAAAAGGTCATAAGAAAATGAGTTTGACAAGTGCAAGAAAGTTGAGCAAAAGAAAAATCTCATTTAAGTTCATAAGTGTTTTCGCGGGTAAAACAGTCGCGCCCGCGCAGTTTCGGGAAAATGGTCATATCTCATTGTAAAAAAGTTAGAATCATGTGCCGTTGGTGGCGTTGGAAACTAGACTCGAAGGGCTTTCCAAAGGTATAAAATTCAGACTCTAGTTCGTCTCCTATCCATACCAGTAGTCCGGGGAAGTTGGCTGATTTTTCAGTTCTAATCAGTTCAAAACCCTAACAAAGTTACTCTAATTTGTCTTGCCAACTTCACTTGTTTTGGCTCAAATTCATCCAATTTAATTTCCTAGAGTTCATATACAAGGGATCAAGTTATCTAGCACCCTTGAAACTTAAAATGCAACATACAAAATGATTAAAAGAACCAAAACATTCTAGCCAACAAAGAAGAACCAAAACAGTCCACTAACTTACCCAAAAACAACCACTTTACTTGCTTCATTTCCATTTCAACTCACACTAAAGTTTAAACCAGTGTTTAGCCAAGTTTCTTAGGCTTAATTAAGGTGCAAAGAGCCACAAAAATCAAGGAGAAACCTCCACTCCAAGGCCGATCAGCCAAGAGAAACAAAACAGTCCACAAGTTCACATTCAACTCCAACTTCCGTCCTTTCATTATAGCTAACTCAAACAATATTCCAAGAGTTATCCCTAACTTTAAAAGGATCCAAAATATGTTAATGCATTAAGAAAAACCATAAACAAAGCTTAAACAAAATAGCAAACACATGGCATGCCAAACAACCAACCCTACTTCTTCTTGTTTAGCTCAAGAAATTTAACCACAAATAACATCCACTCAACTCCTAGTTTGCCATCAAAACCTCAAACACTTAATATAACACAATAAAGCTAAGAGTTAAGGATCATTTACCTTTCTTAAGTGAAGCTTGAATCACCTAAAATCCACCAAAAACCAAAGACCCAAACTTGAATCACACACTAGACTTGAACGCAGTTCACTCAACTAACCTAGGCTCCTTCACTTTTGATTTTTGCTCAAGATCAAGTTAGGGTTAAAAAGAAAGAAAATGGAGTTTTTCTCTCTTCCCTTGGAAGCTAAGGAAATTCGGCCAACATGAGGAAAAAAAAATGAAGTCAAGATGGTTTAAAATCCTCTAATTCCTTGGTCAAATAAGATGAATGGTTAGGGTTTTGTCACTTGTCTCAATCTTGGCTATTCTCCCTCTAAACTTTGCCAAATAAGGTTGCTACCCTCCAAATATTTCCAATGTCTAAAAGAACACCCTTAACTATCACATAAAGTCTCAAACACAATTGAAAAGGGTATTTGGTCATTGTGTATGTGGTGAAATAAAATAATGTCAATTTAAGAAGATGTTACAATTCATGTAAAAGGTAATGAAATGCCATACAAGAAAATGTTATAATTGATTTAATCTTAGGACAATGCAAGTAGTTTAGGAGAATTTATATTTTTAAGTGAGGGTTCTCACAATTTAACTCAACATCTCATGACTACTCTACATGGAAAAATGCTTATATGCTGTATCAAGCTTCTTCTTCCAGATTTAGGCTGATCAGATATGTTTTTTTTTTTTTTTTTGTCAAACAGCATAATTGCATTTCATTTCATAACTTGATACTACAAGAGTTAGATACATCAGAATTACTTCCTTGGTATTCATTTTGTGCTCTTTCATAGAGCCACATGGGAAAATACACTTCCCATTCAACAGGTTTTGTAAGCTTAATTGCAAACTTCGCTAAGCTATGTGCACAAACGTTCCCCGTTCTATGCACAAAGGAGAAAGTACATTGTTCAAACAAACACCTCATATTTGCAATGTCCTCGAGGATGATAGCTGCTCTGGACTGCTGCTTTTCTTCCTTGTTGATCATGTCCACCACCTCTTTACAGTCCGATTGGAATTCCACTGTCCTCCAGTTTGCCTCCCAGGCCATTTGCATTCCCATCCTGATTGCTGTAGCTTCCTCCACTTGTGGCTCGCTATTTTTGAGTTCCGATCTTGCCCATGCCTTCAGTAGCTCTCCTCTCGCATTTCTTGCCACAACTCCTATTCCTGTTCTTTCCAAGTTCTGTGAGAATGCAGCATCAGAATTTATCCTTATGGAGTTATGTGGTGGTGGTCTCCATTTTTCTCCTTTGCAAGAGTTTGTTGTTTGTTGAATGGACTCTCCAGCTATATCTTTTTGGGCCTCTATATATTCATCCCATTCTACTATAGCTTTCTGCACTGCCTTCCTTGGGTCTGCTTCCTTTTCCTCAAAGGCTTTCCTATTTCTTGCCTTCCATATTTGCCAAAGAATATTTACAGTTAATGCTATGTGTTCTTGTCCTTGTTCTCTTTTTCTTGCTCCTAACATTCCTTCCCACCATTTGACAAAATTTCCTCGCATCTCCCTCAATCCATCCCACTGCAGAGGTGCTAGTTTCCATGTGGTTTCCGCAATGTCACAGAAGAATAACATATGTTCTAGTGTTTCCACCCCTTCCCCACAGCTGCAACACATTGGACTTCCTTTACCAGTTCTCTTCTGTATTTGTTCATTCACTGGCAGACTGTGATGTAGGCACCTCCATATAAAGTGCTTCAGTTTGTGTTTCAGATTTAGTGTCCACACACTTTTCCAGATTCTTGAGTTTTGTTGATCATAGCTCGTGCTTCCACTATCCCTCCTCAGCCTTTCCATTTGTTGGTACTGTCTTGTTTCCATTGTCGCATCATAGGCGGATTTTACTGTAAATACACTTGATTTAGTGTATCGCCAATACAATCTATCCTGGTAGCCTGTTATACTGATTGGAATAGCCTTTATCCTTTGGACATCCTCTGCTATAAACCAACGATTCAGCACCTCCTGACTCCACTCCCCATCTGCTATCAGTTCCTCTACTTTCTCTAATGTGCATTTTGGATCTCTTTGCGTTTTAATCCTTCCTTCCTCAGTCCCGTGTATCCAATTATCCTTCCAAATGTCCACTGTTTGCCCATTTCCCACCCTCTTCCCTGTCCCTCTTGTTACCAAGAACCTTGTTCCAAAGATGCTTTTCCATTTCCAAGAAGCTGCTTTAGGAGTTTCTCTATCCCAATCCTGTGGTTGTGCTAGATACTTTGCCTTCATGACCTTGCTCACAAGCAATTCTGGGTTATTTAGCATTCTCCACAGTTGCTTGGCTAGGAGAGCTTCATTGAACCTTTCCAGATCTCTAAAACCCAGTCCTCCCCTACCCTTTACCTGCGACATCTTGTTCCAGCTAATCCAATGCATTTTCCTGTTATGCTCTCCACCTCCCCACCAGAACGTAGCTATCATCTTGCTTATATCCTTACACAGCATTTTTGGAAGCTTGAAGCATGACATGGTATAGGTGGGAAGTGCCATGGCCACCGACTTGATCAGAACCTCCTTCCCTGCATGACTTAACAGATTCTTTTTCCATCCTTGTAACTTTTCTTGCACCTTCTGCTTGATATATCCAAAAACTTGTTGCTTTGATCCACCTATCAGCATAGGTAATCCCAAGTATTTACCACTTATAGCCTCCTTCATATATCCCATCTCAGCACATATATCCTTCCTCAGTTCTTTGTTTGTGTTAGCACTAAAGAAGATTGCAGACTTCTCATAGTTGATCAGATATGCAACTTATGAAATAATCACTTCCTACACTATGGATGAACCTCTCAACGTTGACAACCTCAACATCAATAATCTCATCCATAACAACCTATAATCTACTTATTGTGTTTTTTTAGTTGTACCTTTGCTACACCAACAGCCTACAATCTACTTTTTATGTTTTTCAGTCATGCCTTTGCTGCATTAATGGCCTGTTATATTGTTTATTATACTTTTCAATTATATTTTTTTCATTTTTTGGTTTGTTATTAATTTACTGGGCAAAACTAGTCATGGCCGTCTTTGAATTCTACATTGCGCATGTGTGTGGTGAGCTCCTCCTATTACAATTACTAAGGAGCAAATGGCTAAAATCAGAATGACTCATTGCTATATGACTTTGTACCACATGTATAATCAATTCTCTACAATTTATCACATTCCCCAAATAACCTTCTATGGTCATTTAAGCACCAAAGGCACCTATCCCAAAACAAATACCTTTGCAATCCCAAAACATAGCAATTAAGTAAAAGTTACCCAAAAAATAAGCATTAAACACTTGTTCTAAAGGCAATTCTTTATAACACTATTTTCAAGAGATCGTAACATCCTTATAACCAAGCAGTTGAAATCGGTCACTCAGCTATTCCTAAATGCATTCTTAAATACTACAAGGATAAGGATAAGAATAAAGGTACATTTTATCTAATTAATTTTACTACATAAAAAATTTAACACATAAAATATATTTTAATGAATGGTCGATAGGTAACCATTAAACAAACCCTATGACAATAATTATTAACTTTATTAGTATATGAATCATCTGGATTTATTACCCTCTTTGATACTCCTTTCCTTTTCCCTCTCATTCTCTTTTTCTTTTATTTTTTTAGTATAAGTGAAAATCATCAAACTTGAAACCTTTTACTTAGGTCCTGTTTGATAATTCAGTTCAATACTTAAATTTAATGAATTCAAATTTTAATATATTCTGACTGTTTGATAATAAAAATTAAACATTTGAATTAATTTAAGTGGTACTGAATTTTCTAAATAAAACTTATTCTCAAAATTAAGTGATATACTATTCATTTATTACTGAATATAATATGCACTCGAATGTATTAAATTTAATATTTAACAATTCAATACTTAAATACTCAATAAATTCAGATTTCAATTTTCAAATTTCAATTTTAACAAATTCACTGTTATATTTCATCAAACCCATCCTCTCCCCTCCTTCCCCTTCCCCTTCCTCTCCGGTAAAGAATTGCCTTCAATTCTTCTCGGTGCAACGAGTTCTATACCACCAACTAGCGAGTCTACTCTGCCCTTTTTTTAATATATATTACTTCTGGTATTAGTGTATAATAATCTGAATCTGAATCACGACGAACAACACATAGTGAGTGTGTTGGTGTGTGTGAGTTGAGAGAGGGAGAAGAGAAGAGAAGGAAAGATCAGTCCTCTCTTCTTTCTTTCTCTTCTCCTTTCTCAGGGGACTAATTCGTAGCAAAGCCTGAATCACATGGCTGACGAACCTTCCCTCACTCGATGGACATTTCAAGTATCTTCCAATCATTATTCATTCTTAATTGTTAAATTCTAAAACCTTAATGCTGGGTAGTTGACTTTATTATTTGATTCGCATGCTTAATTAAACTTTGTATTTTACTTGATTTGAGCTGTAATTATTCTTTCATACTGATTGTGAGAAACTCCTGTGACCTTGATTGAACTCATTATGTGGGAAAAAAAAAATTGGTGTTTCAACTATATGTTCAAATTATTGATACTTCGCATCGATGACTTTTGGTGGCTAAATGACAGTTAAAATTTTCCATTAGGTAAAATAATGGAGAATTATTCATATTCATTAGGTTATTTCTTTTTGGACTTTTTAGGATTTTAAGTTATTTTATGATACGAAGTTTGGGAGGAAGAGAATTCCGGAGACCAAAGAGGCGGATGCGAATGGACGAATGGTATCTGATGGCGATCCATCAAATGTGTCATCTAATGGGAATGGACATTTGAAGAGCAAATTTGACTTAGCCATTTACGAGGAGTATCAGAATCAGGTGATTTCTTGTCATCTTTTATTTGCATGCGGTATATGTTTTAATTGATTGCTAATCTAGTCGATATGGTTGATTTATGTGGTGATTTAGGATCCAAGGAGGCCGACATACAGCAATGGAGTTCCTTCTGCCGTAACTGATGCACCGTATGTGGTTTTGTATTTACGAGACATCTTTTTTCCCTTTTCTTTAAAGCTAATTGTTTTGTAGGCTTATCATTAACTTCCATTAAGAGCGTCAACATTTCATTCATGCAATATGTCAGGGGAGGGGAAGAAAGCTTGAATGGTAACCAGACTATTCTGATTGGATGTTTCCAGCACTTCACTAGTCAGAGTCATAAAATTAATTTGCCAAGCTTTTATCTCAGTAAATTGCCAGCACTTCTGTTGATTTTAGCCATTAATTTAAATGGAATGAGGCATAATCCAGCCATGTTTCTGTTAGAATTGCTGCATGTATGATTTGATGACTTAAATTCATTGAGTCATGTGAAGAGTACACTCTTAGAAAGTTGAGTCGCTCTTTTGGCACCCAAATCTAATAGTTAGCGAAGCTTAGTACCTATTTTGATTTTGGCCATTCCAAATATGCAGCTTTTAACTGAAAAACAACGCTTGAGGAAACTTAAAGATTGGCATTGTATATGTGTTTCTATTATAGAATTGAGTCATGGGCACCAGAGGCCTGCATACTAATAAAGCTTTGGACTTGGTAAATGACATTTGAACATGATATCTGCAGTCAATATGTAAGCTATTTGTTCAAACAATTTCTTTTGTACTCTGGCAACATGTTTATCTCTTTCTAAAATTTGATGGCTCTTATAGAGGGCAAAGGTTGGAATTACTTTCATAGGTAACAAAAAGAAGTTAATAGAAATCAGCTTTAGTTATTTATTGAAGGCTTTAATTATAAAAGTGGGTATTATGTCTTTAATTTAAGTGGCTGATTGTTGACTTCTGTTGCTTGGTTATGGCGAATTTTCTATTTGTCTTTGAATCCAGTTCTCTGCAGGAAAACATAGACAATTTATTCAGAAATTTGTGGGACTTGGATGAGTGTAGTTGCTTGTGGACAGCTTTAATCGGATGACTTGCATTAGTCAATTCGATGAATATGCCTAGTTACTTTTTTTGATTGCTTATGACATTAAAATGGAAGAGTCAATAATTAATCACATTCTTGCATCCCTGATAGAAATACAACAAGAACTGTGGGTAAAAAGAGGGAGGATGATTTAATTTGAAGTTCATGAACTGTATTAATATGAAAACACTTAGAAAAAATGTTTGCGCTATTAAATTCCAAGATTTGTACTAAAGGTGAACGACACATCCTGGTTTCCCGTTACCAGCATGAAATTGCTATGCCTTTTTAACTGTTGTGATATAGTAAAATCAGTATTAGATGAATACTGAAGTACAAGGCAGGCAAAATGATCCAGTGATAAATGAAGCATCAATATCAGTGAGCTCCATGCTAGTACTCGTGGGTGTGGAGCTGATGCAAAGTTGTGCTGGCTGGGAAGAAATTATTAGTTGATCTGTGAATGTGGTAGGATTGTTTGGCTAAGTCAGTATATTTGCTATTCATTGCGTCAGTCCTGTTTTGGAGGTGGATATGTTTTGTGTAGTTTGTTTAAAAGAACATAACTGCTTTGTGCCATATGTTTCTTGTCATTCCACTACCACTTTAAAATAACATTCCATACAGCATCATAATAATAATAATAATAATAACAACAACAACAACAATAATGATAATAATATTGATGATGATGATGATGTCATCATCATCATTATTATTGTCCTCTCTAACTTAAAATAAAAGACATCAAACTTGATAGTCGAGTAAAGGTCAAATTTCCTGGACTGTTGTTGATGTTTATCACGATTATATAATTTCTTCCTGAAGTATACATGTTTACAACATGCAAAGTAAATGCTTCAGCTGTTGTCAAAGTGAGAGTGCATCCTAATATTGGCTACTCGATTGTTCGCTGTTGAGTACAGATACATGTTTACGATTGTTCACGATTATATAATTTCTTCCTGAAGTATACATGTTTACAACATGCAAAGTAAATGCTTCAGCTGTTGTCAAAGTGAGAGTGCATCCTAATATTGGCTACTCGATTGTTCGCTGTTGAGTACAGATATGCTTACAGGAAAATTTCTTTTGCATACATGTTATATATGAGTAACTTGCAGGAGCAGCAGCTTGCTGGCTAGACTTTTCACTTTTGATTTTACTTTTCAGACAGAGATCTTTGCTTCCTCCTTTTGAAACTGCTGAGATGCGTAATTTAGCAGAAAGTTTGAGTAGGTAATAAAATCAACTCTATAATTTTCTCTTTTTGTATAATTGGAAAATATGTAACATGAAACAAATTATGCGATATTTTTCTTCTCTACTACTCAGGGATATTATCCGTGGCAGTCCAGATGTTAAGTGGGAAACCATTAAAGGATTGGAAAATGCAAAGCGCCTACTCAAAGAAGCAGTGGTCATGCCAATTAAGTATCCCAAGTAGGTCTACTGTTGTTAATTTCCCTTTTAATGTGTAACTTGGAATCTCAACTTTAGCATATTGTAGCTAATCATACAAGCAATGCTTCATACATGGCAGCATCCCAGATAAGGATCTATGGAGCTCCTTATCTGTCTGTTTTACAAGACGATACCCTTAAGCATGGAGAAGATTATTTGAAATTCTTGTTTAACTTGGCCTGACTTTTCTTTCTTTCTTTCTTTAAAGATACTTTACTGGACTCTTATCACCTTGGAAAGGGATTCTTCTCTTTGGCCCTCCAGGAACTGGAAAGGTAGTAAATGTTTATCCCTTTGATTGGTATACTATACTCTTAATTTGGAGTTCCATATGATTTTCTCATGATCGCTGTTGTTTCTTCTTGTGTTTTCCCATCTTGTTTTGATTAACTATATGATCCATCCTGTGAGGCTGCTGTCGCTGACCTCCAAATGTGTAGTTGTGAGATGTAATTCTTCTAATCAAACAATTTTTTTGAAGTTCAACATGGAAGATCTAGAGTTAAATCAGCCTTTTATTGAATATGACATATAATGAGTGGACATATTGATTGGTGGTGCTATTAGCTGAAAATATGGCTTGTCACTTGTCAAAGGGAGAGAACAGGTGGAAAAGAGGTTATTGCCCGCACTTCACGAACTCAAACATTGGGACCTGCATTAAAAATTCTGATGTGTCTAATATTAGCTTACTTTTCTCCATCCTGTTAAGTATTCAGTTACGCATTTAACCAATTGGTCGTCAAGAGTAACTAAGTTTTCTTGAATGTTTATATGATACTTGCATTACAAGGTTTGTTGAAGCTTCAATCTATGGTTATGTGTAACGATTTTTTTGTTTAAATACTGCAGACTATGCTTGCAAAAGCTGTTGCGACAGAGTGCAAAACCACATTTTTCAATATTTCTGCATCATCGATTGTCAGCAAATGGCGTGGTATGTTGAGCTAATTACCTTGTCAAGGTCATTTCTATTTTGAAACTTGAAATAATGCTCATTGTTGCCTGAGTAACCCTTACATATTCTTGCTTATTTGGTTGTTGCATATATTTGACTAAACAACAATTAGACACCTTGAGATTTAGCTATTGATATAGCCATTAGATTTGAACTGTTGGACCAACCTCACTTGTCAAGGTAATGAAGGGTAAAATGAGACTAACAGTTGTTGCAAAGTGTATTGCACTCTGTCCACATAATTAACTAACTAGATGATAACAAAACTACTCCTTGATGTCCTAACCTCTACTGCTGACCTAGCAGACATGTCTTCGCCCCCAACTAACGTTGCTAAGCAATCTCACTAGCTGCAGCCAGGCCCACAGATTCTGCAATCATCAGTGTTAGCTTGTGCAGAATGTCTGTTCCTTCTCATTGCTTTCAGTTTGATTGAAATTCTCTCATTTCCTACCATAAAGTTAGACTGGTTTCAATGAGCCAAAGCCCCAGAGAGTGCCCTACATTACTTCACAGCTGCTTCCTTAGCTGTCTGACAACAAAAAGTCATTGCAGGCAGTGAGTTCTACATCCAAAAAAATGAAGTCAAAATAGGCACAGTCAAAGTCTGAATTTTTTATATTTCTCAAGAAATTTGTTTAATTTGAAGTTTTAACTTTGGGGTTGTTGATGTTTCAGTCACAGTATTTTCACAATTTAGGAACATACATTGCATCTACATTCCATTTTTCCTCTTTCATGGAAATTGAGGTTTTGAACAATTATAAATAATTGAGTTCTATTATATGGTTGCTTGAGTTTGCAGCTACATTCATAGTAGGAAATTTGGAACCTTGGTTATTTATTTTGACAAAGGAGTTAAAATCAAGTTTTGTGCTTATATGTGCAATAGCTCGAGTATGGTAAAACCAGTCCTTTTTGGTCTTTGGGGTTTGGTTTCAAGTTTGCCTTGTTTTTTATTGGGTTAGGTAGATTGTGTGATCCAAAGTGTACTGATATTATGCAGAATTGATCTTGATTGTGCGCTTAAGTATCATTGTGCGGTGGAAAGTAAGATATCCAACTTGGCATTTAGCAAACAATGCAAATCCCAGTTGTGTTTGTGGCATGGTGACCTTGTTGCCCTTAGGGCTTGATGTAGCATCTGTCTTTGGGCAGTTTCACCACTGTTAGATCACTACTTTGCGAAATTGTTTTCCACAAACTGATATTGTCTGTCTTTTAATGCAGTATATTTCATGTTATAGTTTTTTGTGTTCTTTCTTTATTGGTTTTTAAGAATTTGGCACATAAATTACTGAATACGTTACCTTAATGCAATTGTTCATGATCCCACAGCAAACCTTTTGCTTCCACTTTTGTCTTCCAGAACATTGATTTAGCTAAATGTGTTATATTTGATAAATAATCCAAAATGGCCTAAAATTCCAGGTGATTCGGAGAAGTTGGTGAAGGTGTTGTTTGAGCTTGCTAGACATCATGCTCCTTCAACTATATTTCTTGATGAAATTGATGCTATCATCAGCCAACGAGGTGAAGCACGCAGTGAGCATGAAGCAAGCAGACGATTGAAAACTGAGCTGCTGATACAGGTCACACTTGATTTCTACAAGTGCATGAAGTATATTTATTTTATTGTGTATTAGATAAATATACATGTCGGTATGTTATTTTGCCTCTTTTGGTTTGTTACTGAATGCTTAAGTAATTTATTTTTTTAAATGTACTACCATTTACCTGTGACCTTTAGTTTAAACATTAAACTTTGATATTGATGAATATTATTATTAGGTTTCGTTTGTATCCATGCAGCTAAGAATATCATCCTCCTGTCCCCTGATTCAATGACTAACTTTATTTGATTTAAACATGCCTCAAAACTGATGGCTTTAATTAGACTGCAGATGGATGGTTTGACTTGGTCAGAAGAACTTGTGTTTGTTTTGGCGGCAACAAACCTTCCATGGGAACTGGATGCTGCGATGCTCCGGCGTCTTGAAAAACGGGTATTGTATTTAATATGGCATACATAGCTGGAAGAATTACATCACATGCAGTTTAGTGTGAAGTGAAGTACGTGAAAATTTCGTGAAGTCATGTCAGTTTTCTTTCTGGCCATTTATGAATGGGTAAAAAAAAGTGTCTATCATGACTTCAAAGATGAATATTGAGCAAATATAATGCTGTCTTTTGAAGCAAAGACACATTTGCAAAATGTTATACTCGTACAATTCAGTCTGTTGACTTCTAAGTTGTGACAGATTTAATACAGCCCATCTAAATGGTGATAAGTGTTAAGTTGAATTTGAATGAGAATCCTAGGTAAATAACTATTTACTGATAATTTCATAAGTTTATGACAAAAGGCTTTACTTGTCATTCTTTAGTCTTGGTTTTCATGATTTAATGACTAAAGAGATTCACACTTGCTCTTGTTTGCCTTTTGGTGTGAGTTTGTCAGTGTAAGTTAATAATTCTTCTGTAATGGGAAAGAAAATCCATTCAGACATAGCTTTGTGTTTGTTTATTGAAATTTTACACTCAAATCTGTGGTGCTAGATCCTTGTTCCACTCCCAGAACCAGATGCACGAAGAGCCATGTTTGAGGAACTCTTGCCATCGAGCTCTGGTGAAGAGAAACTTCCTTATGATATATTAGTCGAAAGAACAGAGGGTTATTCTGGTTCTGATATTAGGTTATTGTGCAAAGAGGCTGCCATGCAGCCCCTAAGACAGTTAATACTGTTTCTTGAAGACAAACAAGAAGTCATGCCTGAGGATGGTATGCTATATTCACCATTATTTGCTGCAGTCTTTACTCTAGGAATGCCATGTGCAAAAGGAAAACTGAAATTTATATACATACATATAGACACACACACACTCACATGTATATATATTTATATAACACAACACATACGTAGCACACTGACACACATAATGTATGTATATATACATGTTTATGTATATGTATGTGTTGTATATGCATATGTACAGGTTTGTCTCCCATGGACAATGATTGTGTGGATCAAGAAATCTTTTAATGAATATATTGTGCTTTTACTTGCCTCTGCTCTGCTGTGTACCTTTCTGTTAAAGGACTGAAAAGGATGTCCTCTTTTGATTGGTGGATTCTATTTTGTGCAAGGAGCTTAATGGGAAAAAAGGTTTTTGAAATCATCCGTTTGAACAATTCAGTTTGGATGACAAAAAGATTTGAATAAGCACTCTAGGTCTACCACCTAAATTTAATTAAAGGACAATAATGGATCTGAAATGATGCCAATTAAATGAAGGATATTAATGGTTTGAAAACCTTGATAATTGTTTATTGGTAAAGATTTGAAATCCATACATGATCTGGGTATCTATGCAAGTTCATTGAAATGATTGGAGGGTTGTTGAAATATGATGTGTTCAATCTGCAACCAAACAGTGGTGCGTAAAAAGAAAGGAACCCAACAACCAACCAAGACCGACCCTGGACCGTCAAGTGGCGAAGGGACTAAAATGAAGAACCTCGTTTCTTCTGACTCTGAAGACGGCGAAGGTACAGGCCAGTGGTTACTTTAAATTCTGAAGGAAAAATTTCGAGGGCGAAATTTCTTTAAGGGGGAGAGAGTGTGAGAACCCGTAATTTTCATTTTCTAGGTTTTAGAATTTTTCATGACTTGTTTTCTGCATTTTCGTGATTAGAAAATTTTTCCAGATAATTTTAAGGAGCAGATATCATTTTTAGATGATTTTTCTAGTATCGAATGGATTTTGAGAAAATAAGAGCAGATACCGGACGTGGGACCCACTAGTGCGAAAAGTTCGGAAAATTTCGGTCAACTAGATTAAGTTTTGAGTACTGGAATTAATTTTATCGGGTGTTAAGAGATAAGTAGAGAGTGCTAAGTGGATTTATATAAAGGAGACAAGGTAGTTGAGCATTTAATAAAAGGTGACAAGTGTCACCATTTGATTGGGCTTACTTTAAGACTTTCTTACCATTGACTTAAATAACCAAAAATGACCAAAAACTCACCATTTATTCCTCCTTCTTGGCCGACTTCTTGCTAGCTTTAAGGAAGGAAAACTCTTCACAATTTTGGTCCACAACCTTGCTCAATCTTCAACTTCAACCGGTTAGATTTGAAATTACTCCATAAAACACCTTCAAGTGGTGGTTTTGAGGTGATTGGTGAAGGCTGGAAGTGTAAGTAGGAAATCTTCACCCCTGAAAAACAGAACAAGTGATAACTATAATCCCCAACGACACCACTGGAATCTGCAAAATGGAGAATGGGTGGAGAAAGGGAAACAGGAAGCTCCGGTCAAAAGGAAAGACAACATTGGAGTAGAAGAAGTGGAAACTGGAACCCTGAGGGGAAGAGAGAAAGAACGGAATGTGGAACAGAGGCAAAGTCAGCCTACCCCCACGTGCAGGGAGATCACTGAAACACAGCTCTACATAGACAAGAATTTAGGAATGCGGAAGGGATATGATGTAGAGATTGTGGAAACTACACTAAGGGGGGGAGGTTGTAGCATAAATGAAGGAGAGGATGGTCCCCTAGAGGAGACTAGGGAAGCAATGAACACGGATGAAGGAAGGCAAGTGGATAAACAAATGGAGGGGGCAGATCAGAACATGGAACATTTTCACGATGATGAAGGACTGATAGAAGCGGAAATCATGCAGGTTGATACTGTAAGTGAGAAAAGGAAGAAAGTGGCAGTTTTGAAACAAAACAGAAGAATTGTGAACCCCTTAAGGTCACCAAGGAGTAGAAGACAACCCCTGAGGGATATTAGCAATAAACTTGAGGATAAGAAAAACAAAGGAAAAAGGAGTATTAATGAAATGGAAGTGGAGGTGGAGATTGCTGGGGATGAATTTCAGGTTTGGAAAAAAAACAAGCATGATAGTGGGTTAGAGTTTGGAAGGAAAGAAGCTGAGGGGGAGGGGTCCAACCCAATTTGGACCCCAGAGAACAAATGAAGGTGCTGGTGTGGAATTGTCAAGGAGTGGGGAGCCCCTTGACAATTCCCCATCTGAGGGAGGTGAATAACCTCTCTTCTCCAAACATGATATTCCTGTGTGAGACCAAAAACAAGGAAAAATACCTGGAAAAAGTAAAAAACATTTTAAGATTTGATGAGATTGCAGTAGCTGATGCCATGGACAAAACAGGTGGTATGGCTCTGCTATGGAAAGAGGAAGTGACAATAAAAGAGATTTTGATTTCTGCCTTTACTATCGAGGCACATGTGGAGGACCAAGAAGCTAATCTAGATTGGTGGTTCATTGGTATATATGCGAGTTGTGACAATCAGGTGAGAGGACAGCAATGGAAAGTGATTCAGAAAAGGAAAAGATTGTGGGGGGAAAGGTGGATAATAGCAGGGGACTTTAATGATATAGTATCTAATGATGAAAAGTGGGGAGGAAACTGGAGGGAGGATAGAAGCTTTAAGGATTTTAAAGAGTTCATCAATGGAAATCAGATGATGGATATAGGTTTCGAGGGACTCCCGTGGACATGGTGTAATAATTGGGAATCTGAAGGTGAAATTAAACAAAGACTGGACAGGGGGCTATGCAGTTACTCATGGTACCAGATTTTCGACCAAGTCAAGTATAGACATCTGGATACTTATGCTTCTGACCACAGCATGATCATGATCGACACAAGACCAGGGTCAGATAGGAGGAAGAAGAGATTCTTTTTTGAAAAGAGATGGTTAAGAAAAGAGGACATAGGAGAGGTGATCAAGACTGCTTGGGAGTTGGACACGGAAGGATCAAGGATGTTTCAAGTGTCAAAAAAGATCAAGAATTGCAGAATTGCTCTACTAAAATGGAAAAATACTTTCCAAGCAAACTCAAGAGGGAAGATAGATAGGATCAAAAGACAAATGAGTGAGCTAAAGGAAATGGACACAAGCAATAGGAAAGGTAGAATGAACATTCTGAAGGGGAATCTCAAGGAAGCTTACAAGGAAGAAGAATTGTATTGGGCACAAAAATCAAGGCTACAATGGCTCAGGGAGGGAGATAAAAACACAAAATTCTTCCATGCAACTGTGAAAGGAAGGAGGAGGAGAAATCGAATGAATAAGTTGCAAAGAGAAGATGGATCATGGACTGAGAGTGAGGAGGAGCTAAGTTCGGAGATTGCTGAATACTACAGAAAACTCCTTACTAGTAGTGGAGATGGGGACTTATCTGAGGTACTAAAAGGTATATCAAACAATATCACCGTGGAAATGAATGAAAACCTCATAAAACCTGTGGAGGAAGTGGAGATTAAATCTGCTTTATTCTCCATGAGCCCTGATAAGGCCCCTGGGGCTGATGGGATGTCGCCAATTTTCTTCCAAAAATTCTGGAACATCGTTAAGAATGATGTGGTCAAGGCAGTCCAATCTTTTTTTCATAGTGGCCACCTTCTTAAAAATGTCAATCACACAGTGATCACCCTTATTCTTAAGGTTCTAAATCCTACTTCTCTGAAACTCTATAGGCCCATAAGTCTCTGTAACACTATGTACAAAATCATTGCTAAGATCTTAGCGAATAGGCTTAAAAATGTCTTGCACTGTTGCATTTGCAAAAATCAATCCGCATTCATCCCTGGTAGGCAAATTTTGGATAACATCATGCTTTCTCATGAATATTTGCACTACATCAAAAACAAAAGACAAGGTAAGGATGGGTTCATGGCCGTGAAGCTGGACATGTCCAAGGCATACGACAGAGTTGAATGGAGCTTCTTGGATGCGATGATGGCAAAAATGGGATTCCACTACAAATGGAGAAAATGGATCATGGAATGCTTAAGAACAGTAACATATTCTTTCTCTATAAATGGAGAAGTAAAAGAATATGTCACTCCAGGAAGAGGCATTAGACAAGGGGATCCCCTATCCCCCTATCTATTCCTCCTTTGTTCAGAAGGTTTCTCAAATCTCCTCAGACGAGCAGCAGAGAGTAAGAAGATGTCAGGGATGAGAATTTGTAGGCGGGGACCAAGCATTACGCACTTATTCTTTGCAGATGATTCACTAATCTTCTGCAAAGCAAATCAGCAACAAGCAACAGAACTTATGAGGGTGCTGAAAGTGTATGCCACTGGATCTGGTCAACTGATAAATCTCGACAAGTCCTCCATCCTGTTCAGCAAAAATGTGAGTGCAGGAGAGAAGCAAGAGATCTGCCAGATCATGGGGAACATGCAACAGGTCAGTCAAGGCAAGTACCTGGGCCTGCCAATGGTGGTCACAAGAACAAAGGAACAGATATTTGGCTTCATACGAACTAACATACAGCAAAGGCTCCTCAAGTGGAAGAACAGACTTCTTAGTGCAGCTGGAAAGGAGATAATGCTCAAGTCGGTGTCCATGGCTATGCCCACATATACCATGTCGTGTTTCAAAGTTCCAAAAAGATTGTGCAAAGATATCAGCTCCATTATGTCTAACTACTGGTGGGGTGAAGTAAATGGTAAGAATAAGGTTCACTGGTGCTCTTGGAAGAAACTCACTCAAGTCAAGGAAAAGGGCGGATTGGGTTTCTAGGAGCTGGAAGCTTTCAATACTGCTTTGCTAGGCAAACAGGTGTGGAGGATACTTACACAACCAAATCTCCTAGTCAGCCAAGTACTAAAGGCCAAATACTTCCCCATGAGTTCCATATTCAAGTGCAAAGTTCCAAACAATGCATCATGGATGTGGAAGGGACTGATGGAAGCAAGGGAATTAGTGGAACAAGGAGTTAGAAGGAGAATAGGCAATGGAAGGAGTACACAAATCTAGAATGACAAATGGATCCCAGACGCAGCCAATGGGAGGGTGACAACCAAGAGACAATTGAACAGCAGCCTTTACAAGGTGGAAGATCTGATAACTCAGAAAAGATGGAATAGGAACTTGGTATTCCAGATTTTTAATAAAGTGGATGCAGAACGAATCCTGGGCATTCCAATTAGTTTATTAGGAAGAGAGGACAGTTACTTCTGGATGCATGGTGCTGATGGCAAGTACTCTGTCTCTTCTGGGTACAAGGCATTGATATCCAGTAGAGCAAGGCCACAAAAAGAAAGTCAGGAGGAGGTGTCCACGAGCTGGGAGCAACAAAATAATAAGATGTGGAGAGTAATGTGGAGGCTCAAAATTAAACACAAGCTAAAGATATTCCTGTGGAAATGCCTGAATAATGCATTGCCAGTGAGAGAGATCATCTATGGAAGAACCAAAGTAGGTGATCCCATTTGCAGAAGGTGTGGGGAAGGAAGGGAGACAGTAGAGCATACGCTACTGAATTGCAGAGAAGCTAAACAAATTTGGCAGTTTGCACCTATACATTGGGAAGGCATGCAAGAATATCATGGATGTTTCAAAAGATGGTGGACATCAATCATTGAGGCAAGGCATAG